AAATTAGTTATTGATAGACCTTTATTTTATTTATTTGCATGTGGTGCTGATAATGGAGCCCAGTGCTTCACGCATGCTAGGCAAGCGCGCTACCACTGAGCCACAACCCCAGCCCCTTTTATAATAATGATTATTTATTAAGATGGAGGTATCACATGCGTACAATGAAGTAGGTAAAGTGCTCTCACAGTAAACTTTTATCAAGACAGTGTATGTAATCCTTTGCATTGTGACAATTATTTGGTAGAAGGATTAGGAGACTGAATCATCCTAGGAAATAAAGTTAGGATTATTAAATCCTTCTAAAAAAAGACCCCCGACTGCCCCAGCTGCCTTGCGGTGGGATGAGGGTGGCCATTGTTGGCCACACCAACCTTTCAACCTGAATAACTCGGCAAGGCAGCAAGCCAGGAAGCAAGCCAGGCTGCGGATAGGGTAGTAGGAGAGCTTACCAAGAATTGTGCTGTGCCTTAAATCCCCAGAGGTATTATGGAGGGATTGAGATCTGTCCCATTAGACCCTGCAGTTGAAGTGGGTGGGGCTTAGCAATGCTGACCTGGCTTTCTGGAAAGCTGTGGGAGCTGGACCAGTATGGGTTCTATTCTTTGACATTCTTGCTTAGGGAAATGGTAAACTTAGTATCTCTGGAGTCAGCTCTTAATTCAGATAAATGAAACCTTGTCTCTTAAAGTAGCCCATAGCTTTAGAGTACATATATTCTCAATAAGTTTTTAGAAAGAAGGTTTGGTATATTGTATATAATTGTTCAGGTAGCTGCAAGGAGTGTCCCATAAAACATCAAAGTTTAAATTTTTGTCCCCCCTCCCAGGATACTCCTATATTGTAACCAAACAAAAGTTCATAACTTTTTAAGTTACTTTAGTGTGTTACATAGAACTAACAGCCACACTCTTCATGCTGTTTCTCCTACAATACCTGCCTTGTATCCAGAGATTAAATTCCTGTAACTCTGAAGGAAAGGATTTGGCTCTGGGCCTATTGGTCAGAATTAGTATGACTTAGTCCAGCACCAGGGGCTCTCCCTACTTAATGTCTTGAGACTTAAGCGGCCTCCCCCACCTAGCCCTATCTCCCAATAGTGCACACACTTAGCCCACATCCCCCATTGTTCAAGGCCAGGGCAGATTATGTACATCTTGCACTGCCCATCAGAGAACAGAGAATTCCTCCTACTTCTGAAAGTCCAAGGAACAGCTCAGCAATAAAGATAACTTAAAAGTGGACTGTGGTGCCCTTGTTCTCACAGTACCATTAACCGGACACATTTGATACAAAATTGGAAAACTTTTTTTTTTTTTTCCTCCTGCTCCAGTAAGTAGTACCTTGTCTTCATCTTTCCTCTTTGATATGTTGTATTTGTGGATTGAGCTACTAAAGGCCAACTTGAGAGCTCTGAATAGACGTGTTAAATCATTTTGCATTACCAGGAAGCCCCAAACTAGGTGCCTGAGTTAAGTTAAACTTTTGTTGGGGTTTCTTGGTCTCCTATCTGCCTCTGGATGGTATCTGTTATTTTGTGAGCAGGTGTGGATGTTTGGGGGGTTAAGAGGGAGCAAGGCAGAGTCTGAGGTACTACTTGGGCTAAGACATTACTCTGAATCGATAAGTTGTGCTCCTTTTTTCTCATTGTCACTAAGGTAAATGGCAATATAGAAAAATACCTTCTAACATCTTGGCGTTTTAAGTGTGGTACACTAAATTAGCACAAATCCTATTATGGTGAAGCCAGCTCCTTCAAAGATGTGAGAGTGTGTTTAAAGTTACTTGGACATATCAGTAGAGCTGATTCTTAATAACATTTCCAGGACCTAAGGTTTCTCCAACTTTTTTTTTTTTTTTTTTTTACTACATACATTATAAAGAAGCTTATATTTAGAATGTAAATGTTTTATAAAATAAGCATCTTTATATAACCTATGTTAGTAAACTTTATGAATTGTTTGGAATTAATAGGATTTGTTCAGCTGGCCCCTGTGGCTCGTTCTAGAACTGTTTGCAGAACTTCTTGGAACAACAGGAAAAAACCAATATGAAGAAATAATTGCTGATGTTAAGCAACTCTCCGAGTAGGATGTTTTTTAGTTCCAGAGCATTTAAGAGTCTTGGTCACTAAACTGCGTAGAGTGCTCATTTCTTGGATAACAGTGATTGAGTCAGTAAGTAGTTAAGTGCTTCCTGGGTAGCGCCTCATGCCAGGTACTTAGGAGACCAAGGGAACTGTGAATAAAAAAGCCTGGGGAATTGCTCTGGATTCAGGGGAACTGGGTTGGCCTCTTAAAACACTGTTTTTAAGAACTCGGTTTTCTCAGTTTCTCAGCCCCTGGCTCTGTGGGCTCTGTGCTCAGTAGCAGAGTCCCTTTTGCTTGTTGAGAAGGTGGCCTTACACCCAGGATGCACACACTCCTTTTGTGTGGATACACATTCTGGTGAAGGTCAGCTGGCATTCCTTGCAAAAATGGAGAGTGGGTTCTCTCCTGGTGGCCAAGGCGCTGAATGCTGCTTTCTGGATTAAAAGCTCCTGACCTCAAATGCAGGGAAAATCTCAGGGTCTTCTTTTAAATGGGGGCCTCAGGGTGCAGCTGCAACTCCTAAGCCACTTCAGTTTGGTGCCCTTAAGCACTTTCCACACTTCCCACCCTCCCAACACCAGCCCCACAGGGCTCGCTCAGCCTTTCTCTCTCCATGTCCGCTCAGTTGCTGGTTCTGCTGATTCTTTTATTTTTTGTTTCCCGCTGTCATCACTGACCTGGTTTAGGGGCCTGTAGACAGCAGCTCAGTGAAAGCAACAGTGTGTCGCCTCTGGCCAATTCCGCATCCGCATGTACCTGGAATGCCAGCGTAAGAGCTCCTAGGACCTGCTGTTAGCTCTGACATCCCAGACTCCCTCCCAAGGATCTGTCCCTTTCTGACTATTCTTGGCCTCCTTTGCATAAATCTTCTCAGCGGACCTGTCTTTTTTTGTGGAGTAAGTACTCAGATACTTGACCAAGTGAATACAACTGCTTCCTCACCATACTTTATTTTAATCCAGCTTTGGGCTCCTTGCACAGGTTTCTGACTGATCTTTGTCCTGTCTTAGAGTCCTCCTGTCCCACACCTCTCCTCTTCAGTACTTCGGAGTTTTTCCTTGCACAGTACTTTTCTAGTTTTTAAAATTTAATCTTTAATTGAATGAGTACCCAAAGTCCCGTATCTGTCTCCATCTTTACCCTCTGCAAGAGATCTGGAGAAAACCACCCTTCAAGAGCTAGATCTTGAATCACCCTTGCCATCACCTTGCCAATGTGAACCTTGCTTCACGTTGCCCTAAGCTTCTCTCAACCAGCTTAGCCTTTTCAAGATGGAAGAAGTCACCCTTTGCCTGCCTGGCTGCCCACCCTGCACTCCAAACATAGTTTGCTGAGCCCTGCTCGGCTTGTCACAGTTCAGGATGGGCACCAGGACTACTGCTGTGGTCTGATCCTGTGTGGTCTTGGGTAGTTCTGTCTTTTACATGGAATAACCACATGGGGCTGCAATAGGAAGATTGAGCAGAAGAAGAGGTGAAGCAGACACTAATTAGTCTCCTGCTGTGGCTCTAGGTGCTTACCAAATGTTGCTCAGCTAGACACCAGCTGTGCAGATGGATCCCATGTTTGGGTCCTTCATCCTCTCTATATTCACCACCTCTCTGCCTCTCAAGCTGCTTCATTGTGGGGAGACTTGGATTC